CTGCCAATGACCAAGGGGGTAGACTATGCAGAGAAGACCTGGCATAGGTCTTCTCATAGGTTAACATAGCAGACCTAAACTTCTGTCCTTGAAAATGCCGGCTTACAAGGTTGGCCCTTGGCTAGTGGCTGGGAACTTAAGATTTTGGAAGGGTTCCCACTACCCTAACTGTTATAAGTGACTCATCCCAACTGTACAAACAATATGGTTTATGCTGAACACCTGCTCTCCTTCTGGGAGTCTGCAATCTTGGTATGTGCTAGGCACAGAGTGCCTACATGATGAACCCCCTACGAAAACTCCAGGGACCAGGTCTTTAACGTGGTTTCCTGACAGACAACATTTCCCACGTGTTGTCACAACTTTGCTGAGGAAATTAAACACGTACTGTGTGTCTCTCCCGGGAGAGGACCCTTGGAAGCTTGCATCTGGTTTCCCCCAGACTTCACCCCACGTACCTTTCTCTTCGCTGATTTTGCTTTGTATTCTTTTGCTGTAATAAGTCATAGCTGTAAATACAACTAATGTGTTGAGTCCTGTGAGTTTTCCTAGAGAATCATCAAGCCTGGGGTGTGGTCTTGGGGACTCCTGACATAGTTGGGAATAAGTGTGAAATCTTCAACAAACAGCAAGAAGGCAAGTGTGGCTGGAGTCATGGGAGTGAAGGGGAGTGGCAGATGATGAAGTCAGAGAGAGAGGAGGGGCCTTGTTTGGACTGTATTCTGAGTGTGACAGGAAGCTACTGGAGGTCTCAGAACAGGAAGGAGGATCAGTCTGTCTGCTGTTAGAGAACTGACATCAGGGGAAAGGACGAAAGCAAGGACACCGGATAGGAAGCTCTTATATACATGAGACTCTTCAAGTACACTTGGGTGGTTCTGGAACTGCCTCAGAAAGGAGAAACTTAAGTTCATCTTTAAGGATGAGTAGAAATGTGATAGATGAATTTGGGCAAGGGGATGAGGAAGGTATTCCAAGCAGTGGGGAGAACTTGTACCAAGGCCCAGAGGCATAAACTGCACGGTGTATTTGAAGAACAGTGATGGGTTCAGTGTCACCGAAAAAGGGTGCTTAGGGGAGAGCCACAGGAGATGAAGTCACAGAAGCTGGCAGGCACGTTGCACACAGGAGGCTTTGTGGATCACGCTAAGGAGTGTGCACGTCATCTCGCAGGCAAGTGGGGAGATAATGAAAGGTTGTAAATAGGAGAGTTATAGGATCAAATCTAGGGTTTAGGAAGATCAATATGGCAGAGACATGGATGAGAGGCTGACAAAGGAAGCAAGTCTAGAAGTAATTGTCATATAACCCAGTTCTAATGTAGTTGGCACTGCACATACACAAAGCCATGCATATGCAATTTATGTTATACAGAAGTACATAAGCCTTTTCATGTATTAATACTAAATTAAAAACAAGTCTAAATGAAAAGGAAAAAACAAAGTAACTAATAAAAAACTGAAACAAACCAAAACAAATGAATCTAAATGTTTATAAAGTTGTTGGTATAACCACACAGAATTATTCAAGTGATTTAAAAACACCATATTACAAATCCCTAGTAAAATATATACTAAGAACAAAAAGAACCATAAAGAAATCTTAAACTGCATTCAGTGGTCCTGTTGTTAGTAGTAAGGTTGCCATCGTTATTTTGAACCTATAAATATATATGTATTAGGATAAAGCAATATAACGTTAATGTGGTTAGGTACCAAGATTTCCATCATCGGGGAAAGGAGGCATTAATGTAAAAGGAAGCAGCAAAATCCCTGATAGATAGCAGCAGACCTGCAATCCATTCTCTCCTTTTACTGCCTAAGAAACAGAGAGACAGGGAGGTGACATGATCAAATCATCTTAGAAATATGCTAACAAGAGACCTTCTGGCAAACACACTAAAGGTATTTACCACCACGAGAGTCCTTATTTATGGAATGCTTTAGCAGGATGGACTTGGTCTGTCTAGGTGGCTCACTGTACACAAACTTGGGATGTATGTATTTAGGAGGCATGACTTCCTAGAAAATATCACGCAAGCTATGCAGTTATCAGAGAACAAACTGGAGATGTTTCAAACCGAAATAGCTCCCTTTTGTGGAAGTGACACTCCATATGTATCACTTAGAGGCCTCAGGTGTTAAAATCTAAGTCAAAGCGCATCTTAATAGAGGCAAGACAGGACCTGGGAGCAGCTCTGGCAGTCAAGGACTTCTCCACACTTTGCCTGTGTCTTGTGATAACTATATCTTTGAAAATATTAGACAGTCTTGATACTCTGATTCTTGTGAGTCCAATTTGTCAACTCGACCCTTTGTGCTATCTCACCTGTAATATTTAATTTGAAGTGGAAGAATCAGTATGAATAGTACATTTCCTAACCTTATTCATCAAAAAGGCCTATTAGTGATGACAACTCAGTTGCAATGCATAGCCCTCGTGACTAGATTGTAGTATTTAAAGACAATTTCCCACTAAAAGGAATCTGCGTTCCTTAGAGAAATGGGTGAGATTCACTTCTGGGTCAGGAAATGTACAAGATAAATTTGGGACATCTTGTCCTGCCTGAAAATTTCAGTCACCTACGATTAGTTAAAAGGACAAAGGAATGAACTTAAAAAGACTCTCAATGGCCAAAAATGGGAGAACATGAGCAATAAAAAAGAATGATTGCAATAAAGCATAAATATATAAAACCCATGGATTTGCAATGATGCTCAAAAGCAAAGCAAAACAAACAGAAACAAACAAAAACATGCTCACTGGTCTCCTCTGGAAGTTGCTAGGGCACCAAATCATTATCTGAAAACGTTTCAAGGGACAGAAGCAAGCATTTATCCTGCTTTCCCTGTATGGACTAAATTTCAGGGTAACAAAATAGTTGATGAGGGAAAGTTCCTCTTTATAAAAGAATCCCAGGTAACAAATGCAGAAGGAATGATAAATTAGGAAGTCATCACTTTGCCACTCCTAATGAAATAATAGATGCAAACAACATACAAAATGGTTGCCCAAACCTCTAGGTAAAAAGTGAGTGAGAAACTTTCGAATAGCTCCATCAAGCTAATACCACCCAACCTCACTGATCAATCTATCACTAGCAGTGGGACAATCAGATACTCTGTGCCTCCCAATGCAATGCAATAGGAAGGATACAACACCATCTATGAAATATTCTCAATAAAAAATAGAATTAAATCTACCCAAGCCTCTAGAGCTAACTTTCAGTTTATAGACTAGACAGCCGACAGTGGAACAAGTTAAATGACATTACAAGGATACGACCAGCTAGATCCAGAATGTGGGAAATTGTATAGCACAAAGGATATTATTTCTTTAACCAATAAAATGGTTAAAAACAAGAGAGGGAGAATTGTTACAGATTAAGAGAAACCTAAGATCTTAGCATGGATAGTAATTCAAACAAACCAATTCTAAAAAGACATTTGAAACAACTGGGAAACTGAAGAGTCTGGGTATTGGGTGCTAAAGGAATAACAGCTAATTTTGTGGGTGTTATAATACTATTGTGGTTTTGTTGAAAAAAATTCCTACTTTTAGAGATACGCAAGTAAAATAACATGTGGAATCTGCTTTAAAATACTCTAAAAAAAAAGAGTTAATGTGTGTGAGGTGGTAAAGATAAAACAAGAACAAGAGTGTTGATGGCTGCTGAAGCTGGGTGACGGTGGGTAGGGGGGATCATTACACTCTCTACTTTTGTGCACGTTTGGAAATCTCCCTAATAAAAAATAAAAAGGAATGAAATAAACTATAATATTTGGCAAAAATTTAAAAATGGAAATACACACTTGGCTGAGGTACAGGAAAAGGAGTAGTTTCAAAGGAGTAAACAGAATTACTTTTCTGAAGAACAATTTAGCAATATGTATCAAATTCTTTAAAAATTTTATATTCAATACAGCAAATTTACTTTTAAGAACTAATTCTCAGGCAATTTTCATAAATGTGCAAAAAGATACATCTAAAACAATTTCCCAGAAAGAAAACATTGTAAACAACCTATTTCTCAGTTATGGTATATTTACATGTAAAATTTTTTACAGCCATTAACCATCAAATTGTAAAAGAATACTAAATGATATGAGAAAATGTTCAAGATAAACCATTAAGTGCAAAATGCAGGCTGTAAAATAGTATATACATTTTGACCCAACTTAGTCTTCTTAAAACCATAGGTTTCCTGAGTCGTCTTCATGATAGTTGTTATTTCTAGCTGATGGGATTAAGCTAATTTTAATTTTTTAAAATGGTTTTTCTATTCACGAGTATGGAATATTTGTAATAAAAAATTATATTTTTAAAAGGTAAAAAATCTGGATCAATTCCTGAGAGTGGCTAATAATGGAATAATAAGTGGGTATGGCAGTGACCTTTGAACTAAATGACAGAACGGTGGTGGGACAGGACAGGGTGGACACACTAATAATTAATTTCTAAAAGGATTGGAATTTAGCACACTCTATTGCGAGAAAGATCAAGTTTTAAATTTAAAAATAGAGGTGTCAAGGTGAAAGTTAGAAGAGGATTAAAGTTTACATAAGCTTCAACTGGAGAGGGATAAACACCTAAATAAAATTACGTAGGATGACTGAAAAGGTTATTGTAGTAAAAATCCTAACATGATTCTGAAAATAACCAAAGCAGCATGTTGGACAATCCTTCGCATCTGAGCTTCTATTTTGTGTACCACTCTGACAGATTATTGCATACTGGAGTCCAAAGAGAAATGTTAGGATATTAATATGATACAAACGCAGTTTTGATTACTGAATTCAGCTTATGTAACTTGGAGCAAATCTGTTAAGGGAACAACTTGGATATATTAAAATCTAGAAAATCCTATAAAACTACACTTTACATGTTATATGTGGTTAATAATCAGTAAAATTAGACTTTTCTCAACTTTCCACACTAGCTTAAAATTTCAGTTGTCTCCTTCTTATATCAGGTAAAAGCAAAGAAAATGTCTAGACTACCTGGTTTCTGTACTTTTGTTGGTTCTTCATAGTCCTTGTTTTCTGGATTTGGAGATTCTAGAAAGCTGATTTCTTCTGTGACAACTTCCCTTTCTTGGCTCCTGAGGCTGTCTTCCTCCTCCTGAATAGGTGATTCCAATTCTGATTCTTCTGAATCAAGAAATATCTGACCAGCGACTACTCGGCCTGCTGAGCTGTGGTCCTTTACCGACTCATCTGATGGCAAAGAAGTCTGAGGATATAAAGTATTTTTAGTTTTCTATAGTACCAAGACTCCCTCTAATTTGACCATTACTTTTACCAATCCAGATGAATCTCCTTCAATTCCTTGAATGTGCCATACTCTCTCATCACTATAGACTTCAGGATGTGTTTGTCACGTGCCTTCATCACCTGCCTAACCCTGACTCTTTCTTTGAATTTCAACTTAGTTGTTACTTCCCCCAGGAAGCCCTCCTTAATTCTCAAAGTCTGGGATAGGGTCTTCCCCTACATGCTCTCAAGTAAGTGGTATGTTGGGAGCATGTAGGGGAACTTACTTCTCCTTATAATAGCCCTGTACTATAACTTCCTGTTTCTTATCTATATTCCCTCTAGAGATCAGGGATCATAACTGATTGGTCTCCTTAGATATGTAATAATCAGTCTTATTCATTCAATCAACCAATTTAAGTGCATTAACTCAATAGATTTTTTTAAATTGACAGAAGTGGAAACAGGGCCGGCTCTGTGGCTTAGCGGTTAAGTGCGCGCGCTCTGATGCTGGCGACCCGGGTTCGGATCCCGGGAGCGCCCCGAGGCACCACTTCTCCGTCCAACGCGAGGCCGAGTCCCACGTACAGCAACTAGAAGGATGTGAACCTATGACATACAACTATCTACTGGGGCTTTGGGGGGAAAAAACTGAATAAATAAAATCTTTAAAAAAAAAAGAAGTGGAAACAAACGGCAGAGGCTGTCTTCAAAGTTAAAAAAACTAAAAAAATAGGAATAAAATCAATCTCTCATTGGGCAGTTAAAAATGTTATTGCCTTAAGGCTCTTAAACATACACACACACACAGCACATTCAAGTTGAAATTAAACATAATAACCAACACTCTTAATGGAAATATTTATTATTCTCTCCCCTGTAGGTCAGTGATTTTTTTTTCTCCCCGAAGAACTAGAACTAATGTTGATACCAGCTATCCTATTCTTTTAGTCCAATCCCGTTGCTCAAAAGATGTAGATTTCATATCCTTTCTAAGGTATATAATTCATGCTTCTAAATTGGGCATCAAAAACTGACCAATGCAAGTTTTAGTACACACCTTGGAATCTAAGGATTCATCCTGGCTGCCTTCTTCATCTGTAAAGAAATTTTAAGACAATTTAGTCTTATTTCTTGTTGGGAAATCACGGGTATTACTAAAAGAAAGCATTTGGTAAGTACAACAAATAATAATCAGACACTGGATAAATAAATCTAGAATTATCTAAAAATTGGTTGTATTCAGCCAACTGTTCAGAAGACGAAGTGAAAGGGAAAAAAAGGAGTTAGGAGGGTAGTTTTCTCTCTTTCTCCAGGAATGGTATTAGCTTTATTTGTTACAAAGGAAGACCAACTACCACTACCACCAAAAACAGACATTTCTTCAGATACCATCCAATTCTTCTGTATATGTTTAGTCTACTAAAGAATGAGTTACTAAATTTATAAAAATAAATCTCTGATTTTGTGGTTCAGGATTACACCTATTCTTTTCCTCTGCACAGCCTCTGGAGTTACAGGAGCTTATTTTAGTGCTGATTAGCATTTTACTGTTCACTAAGACTACTAAAGATGGACACTAAGAATTATTTGACAGCAGAGTTGCTAGACTAAGATATTTAGGATTCGTGTTCCTCTTTACTGAAGAGACAACCAAATACAGGTAAAAAGTAGCATCATACTACCATGTATTCACTCATTTAAGATCTATTTATTAAGAAATCACTAGCTTATATTAAACAAACAACTAATTCAGCTACTAGTTACACCTTTCTTCCAAGTTTATATCAGCTGCGTTGGCTTTGTCCGATTACATTAATTTTCCTTTTATTAGTCTTTCTGTGTTTTCCTATTACTTCTATTCTGGACACTTGTTATTCTTTTTCCTGCTCTTATATAAACACATTCAACAGCCCCACATCCATACGCAAATGTTTGATCTTTGTATTCTTGGCCAGTAAAAAAAACAAAACAAAACAACAGTCAGATGATCTCTAAGTTTCCTTTTTACTCTTAAAATTACCTGATTTTATCCAGGAGTGAGTTTCAGTATTGCCTGCTCCTTAAGTTATATGAGAAATTAACCAGCAGACACAATGCTATAAGACCATGTGATTCTTACTACAAAATTTGGTGTTATGGTTGCCATTTATCTTTACTTCACATGGTTATATCCTAAATATTATTTGTAACTTGTAACTCTCTAGAGTATAACAAAAACATGTTTTGGAGTTCATGTTATCAAAGTACTGAGCTAACTTTAAGTAGTATAACCAATTCATTATGTACAAAATACACAACTCTATTTCACAGTATTTGTTTCTTTTGAATATTTGAGAAAACCAGTCTACTAGTGAAGTTTTTGCCATATATGAAAGTGCTGCCAATTCAAAGAAAACTTAAATTACAGCGACCTTCACATTCACTACTTTTAGATTACCTTCCAAATATGTTTTATTTCTGGTGAATGGAGAGAAGTCCACCCATTAGCCCCACTGCGCCCATAACATTTAGTGATGACAATTAATTAACAATTAACCTTCATGCTAACTTCTTCACAAGTATTCCCCAAAGCCCAAATTCTAACATATGGTTCAAATTGTATTCCCAGCAAATCTTTGGATAAAGGAAAAAAATTCATCTCTATTATAAATTAAAGTCATAGGTGCAGATGTATTTAATTAATCACAAACATTAACCAGTTATTACATCTAGGAGCAGACATTAAATGTATATGGTATATCCCCAAATACTGAAACTTTAGATTAGTTGGAACTCTTCAATCACTATCACTAAATCACCAAATTTAGTACCTTGTCACAACAAGTCACAAATGTAGCTAATAGGTAATATAAATATATATAATAAATGTTAAGACATGTACATTTGAGACCTTACAAACTGTTAGGCATTAGAGTAGCAAAATGTGTTTGTGAATTCCAAGAGACATGGGAACTTGTGACATCAGGGTTATTTCATGTGAATTGCATCATGCTTCTCTCTCTCTTCACAAACTAGGAATATACACTAAGGTTACTGATAAATAAGAGAATTCTTTCTTCTTTACTAAACTGGGAATGCCTACTCCAGATGGTAGTCTTAAAGCATAAGCTATTTTCTCTTTCAAATTGATATATCCATTCATATAACACTTTTAAAGAAGTTGCTTATAACCTAGAAACTTCTGATATGTAGTAGTCAGGTAAGGATTAAAGACACTGAAGTTATGCATAAATAAATAGTAATGCTTTTGTCAGAATACAGACATCAAGCAACAAGAGAAATGCAAAAGTATTCAAGGAAGAGTTAACAGATTTCTCACTCTACAGTACCACATCCAAAATATGATAGTTTACATTACACTTCAGTAATCGTACATCTCCCTTTGAAAAAGACCAATTTTCATTTTTATTATATCAGCTAACAAAACTGCAAAGTACCAGGGACATTCTTTCAGGGAGATGTGATCATTATAAATTCATTGTCCAACTTGTGTAAATTAAACAGACCTATACACCTGGAAACACAGAAAGTCTTAAGAGTTTGATGAAAAGAGACCAGACACCCTGTCTTCTGCTTTGCCATTGAATCTGTGCAGATCCTAGGATACTCCTGATTCTTAATTACTCCAAATCCAAGGCCTGGAGAGCTAGGGTCAAAACCTGGCTCCATCACGTATTAATTTTACACACGTGGTTCAATGTGGCAAGCTTGCTCAGCCTCCTTTTTCTCAGCGTGTCAAAAGGAATAATACCACCTGCCCTGTTGAGTCATAAGGATGTTTTAATGAACAAGAGAACAGTGAAATTAAACATCCTCTGCAATCTGAAACCTACTCTTTGAATATATGGTATTAATATAACGATTACCTGAAATACCTGGCAGTGGACCTAAGTTAAAAGACTCTGTAACGTTGTTTGGCATAAAGAAAAAAAAAAGTAAACCATTTGCCTTTTCCTGCCGAAAATAAGAAAACATGTGTTTCCAAGTGAGACAAGTTATATACTTTTCACTATCTTGAGAAAATGGAGAAATATCTTTTTAATCTCCTCCTTTAAATTTTGTATTCACAAGGAAAACATTTCTAATAAAAGTATCAATTTTTTTACATGCCTCTAAAACAAGACATTAGATAACAGTTACTAACAGTGATAGGATCAAGATTCCCTTTGTTACCATATTCTACCTGGTAACCACTAACATTCAAACTTTAAGTCAACACAAAATTATGACCAAAAACTTTATTTTTAAATAAGAGCAAATCTTTAAATCCAAACCAGAAATGAGGCTTACATCATGAATAAATAAGCAAAATGTCAACTGAAAATCCATGTACTCAATTTAAAAAACTTTATCTCACATAAATGTTTTATGATATTTGCACTATACGTGAGCACAGTACTGCCTTTATCACCTGCCAGCATACACATTTATATTGTTTTAGTTCTAGCTAAGTAAGGTTTTTGCCTCTACCAGAGAAACGTTTTGGTACAGTTTAACTACTATGGAAATCAGAGTAGACATTTCTTGAACCTAGTCCTCTACTTACATCAACACAACCCAAAGATTTAACACTTCAGTATTAACAGTCTTCTATTATAATATCCTGAGAATCCCAACTGTTGATAAATGACTTCTTCAGGTATCATCTCCACTGACATGGAGCTCTAAGTATATGAAATCTAGTCAAGGGAAGACGCAGGAAAATGTTTGTATGCTTTAATTTTCTTTAAATTCTGCAAATTGCATTCTGAGAGATATACACCATATTCTTTAGTAGTTCTCACACTTGACTGTGAAGAATCGCTTGTGAAGCTTGTTAAACTACAGATACCCCCACCTGTTCCAGACCTAAAACTGCATTTTTAACCAACCTCTAAGAGAAATTCCGACGCTGCTGGACCATGGCCCACCAGACACTCTACCTACTACACTCAACAGTTTCATCTCATACTTCCTTTGATCAAATAACTGGCAGCAGGGCCTCAAGAGCTATACACAGTTTTAAAGATTTGCTCATGAACGCAAACCACCACTAAAAGGGGAGGGGGGCAGACCTCAAAGCATGATGTTGGCAGTAAAGTAACTAGCATATGCTTGTTGCTTTCGAAATGGTATCTCAAACCACGTTATGGATAGAATTTTAGGTTTAGACCTCTTATTTTAGAAGCAGAATGATGTTATGGCATTGACTTACAACTAGGACAGATAATTGGGGATTCAAATAACCATCTGGGAATTTTTCTGTCGGAAAAAAAAGAGTTTGACATTTATACCCTGCCTTGTTCCAAAAAAATTTAAAGCCACAGAACAGCTGTCTTGTTAACTGAAACTGATTAAAATTTAAAAGCTTTATTGCACTGTTTCTTTACCAACACTTAGACACACTAAGCATTTCTGTATCAACACTCTCAAAATACAGGTTTTCAGATGTAGGCAGATTAAACAATTAAAAAAGAAAAATTATTTTCGGAATCAGAGTATAAATCAGCTAATTGGAAAATCAATTCATAAAACACATGAATATCTATATCTATATAAAAAGTTAAAACTAGTTGCTCTCCATTTTCAATTTACAGGGACCAAGGTTTTTTCAAAAATCATAAAAATACTGTCAACAAACTGGGGCAACTCAGAAACACTGTGACAGAGGTAAACACCACTTTCTCAGCAATATTTTTTAAAAAGGGGTAGGGAGTGGACACAGTTACATCAGAAGTCTTCACTTTTAAATAGACAAAGAGACCAAGGACCATCTCAGGTGCTAGGCAAACCCACCAAACCACTGTCAACATCCTGGTTTTGATGGACTTGGCTCTGCCCAGTGACAGCCCGAGGTGTGTCAGTTACTTAACTTACAATCCCAAACCCAGAGTTTCAGACCCAGGGCAGCACATAATCACGCGAGTCCAGGAAGCTCCAGCAGGGCTCATGTGTCACTGTGGGTCTAAGCCAGCTGTCGGGATTCTTTCCCATGGAGTCCTCACTCGGGAGGAGTCGTGTAAAGTTTGTTAAGTGAGGAGAGGCATGGGCAGGGTGACCGTCCCTTCTTTTCCTCCCATGTCTAGCTCCCTTAACACCCTCTCTGGCCCAGGCCAACAGAAGCCCAAGGAATGACAGCGAGTGACAGGCTAGCGCGAGGCGTGACCAGAGAAGAGTGGAGTCTCCAGCTTGAGCCCCAATGGCCCTGCCCCGGGATGGAGGCCGGGGGGCGGTGGCTCCGGGCCTCCAGTCCGAGGGGGCGGATACTGACCCGAGGACGCCGAGGCCGAGCCCAGCAGCACCGCACAGAGCAGCAGCGTCAGCCCGACCCGGACCCGCATCCTGCTCTCGGGGCCGCTGCTACCCCCCAGAGCTGTCGCTTTCGCCTCTGCCACCACCGACTCAGCCGCCGCCGCCGCCGCCGCCGCCTCGCCGCTGCTCTTCCTGCTCTGGTCTCCTTCCTCCGCCCCTTCCCAGGCCTCCCTGCCCTAGCGCGCAGCCAATCCCCGCCCGCCGCCGCAGGCTCGTAGCCCAATCACCGCGATCTTCCCGCCCACCTTGTTGCCCCGCCCCCTGGGTCATGGATTGGCCAATCATCATGCGAGGCTCCCACACCAGCTTTCCCGGTTGGACCACGGCCTCACCGACATGGCCCCAGCTAATTGGTAGCTCCTGAGTTCAACCGTCCCGGAATCAGGGCGTGAGTCCTGGGCTGGGAGAAAAGTCACCCAGGACTACGGTTCCCACAACGCACTTCATGGGCCCGTCTTGGCGTGTGCTCTTGGGAAACGCAGTCTATCGTAGGGCAAGATTTAAAAGTGCAGGTGGCTGCTGAAGCTAAGAGAATTTTGCTAACACGTGGGCTAGACGCCAGCTGAAGGCCATGAATCTGCAGGCTTTTTTTTTTTTTTGAGCCAACATAAATATCAAGGACCAAATATTATAAGGTTAGGACTTTGTAATGTGTTAAGCTCCTCTTCTTCTTTCTTTTAATTAGAAAATTTGAATTGGACATATTGATATCAACACTGAGGGAAAATACAACAGCTAGAGTGAATTTGAGGTATTTTTTTTCAACTTAGATAAAACAGTACCATATATACAGAAACCAGGATGGAACTCACTCCCTGTTCTTCTCTCCCCGACAAGGAAAAATAAAAACTCCACCCAGTGCAGATCATTTCAATGCTAGTGTTCATTTTTATGAGGGCCACGAGATAATAATCTGGAAAACGTGCCAACAGCGTTTGCAAAACGCTTTCAAACGCTTGACCTCATCCCTCTTTTTTGTAAGTTACATTGTTCTCTTCTTCGTTGACTAGGTTCAGGAGGCTAAGTTGATGTGTTTGGAGATAAAGGTGACAGTGATTGTATTGCAGAAACAGAAATAGCCTTGTGTATTAAGTGCCAACTCCAGGCGTGCTCCCACTGGGTAGCAGGGCAGTGGCTTGGTGTTCCGGACCCTTCATCAAATTGTGTCATTCTGCTTTCCCTAGCGCCTACCCACAGTCAGCTTTTAGGCATGGAACCCAGACAGCCTGAGTTCCGAGTTGTGGAAAAGTCCACATTGGCCACATGTCTTGATACCTCTGGGCATTTGTCTTCCATCTTTGATAGCTAGTCCTCATTTGCAGGAAAGAATAAAAGCTAACTACCGTTTCACATTCACATCAGAGGGAATGAAGGAAAAATATTGTCCCATGAAAAAGAGGTCTCTTTTCTACTACTACCTCTTTGGCACTTATCTCTATTTCTGTCTTTAACAATGTTCCCTCAGAGTTCCTCTGATTTTAAATCATAGAGTAAAATCTGGTATATTTTCCTCCCTTTTTCATCTTACTGATCCTCGAGTCCTAACCATTTGAACTGTGTAATTACTCCTTTATGGGACCATTTTTCTCTTTCTCACTGAAAACTTCCCTATTGGCCCTCATTTTCCCTTGCCTGCCTGGTGCGCCTGAGTTCTAGCCATATTCACCAACATCATTCTCTCTTCACTCTAACCTAAACCATGTACCATGGCCAGATTAATTTTCCTTAAATGCTGCTTTTATATTCCTATTCAAAAATTTTCAATGGCTGCCTTTGTCATAGAATCAAAAAATACCAGAACTTCTACTGACAAAATAGGAACTTGTGCTGATAGTTCTACTTTCTTAGGCAAGTACTGGGGAAAAACCTTCTGCCTTCCGCAGAAGTGGTGGTTATCTGATTGATAAGACTGGAGGAAGTTCACTGCTTAGTTAAGACCCAACTTCTTTTTTCGTCTTTTTCTTTACTGAGTGCTTCTTATATTTAAGGCCCTGTGCTAGGTGCTGCATGGACAGATTTCCTACTTCTCTTTTACTCATTTCCAGATTTCCACATTAACACACTCTTGTCTTCTCATGGGCTCCATACGCTCTCCTCACTGCCCTTGCTTCTTCTTAGCCACAACCCTGGCATCCTTCCCAATTTCACTTGCATTTTATCTTGGCTGAGTCTTTTCTGAGCAGGCCAGTCCTCATTAATCTTTGTTTCTGTAAGTATCTACAGAACATTCACAAACTTGCCTTTTAAGTGAATTGCAAGCTTGCTGAGGCTAGAGACAATTATATAATTCTGTGTACAGGTATATAGCATTGGCCTTGCCACCTACTAGCACCTGAGAATTATTTGTTGATTCATAGATACACCTTACCTATAAAGTGTTTTAATAATAAAATTTTCAAGTACTTGCTATCTGCTATAAGTTTAATCTTAAAATATCTTACGGGAAAATATTAAGGAGCATCTGCACCCCTATTTTATAGGAAATTTACTTCACTTCTCTGCACTTTATCTGTAAAATGAGTGCATGAGTATATTAATAATACCCTCTTCACCAGGTTTGTTGTGAGGTTCAAAAGAGATATGCAGGAAAAAAGTGCTTTCTTCATTATAGAATATTCTACAAATATTATTTCTTACTGATTGCTTGGTTGAAACAAAGGAGCAAAACAAACTAAAAAATTAGTTTTTATTAAGACTAATACAATTAGTTTTATTTCCTTAACTTGAAAAGGGTTTAGAGCTGCTAGCAGTATTGTCATTAGCCAGCAATGAGTAATTGACGTGTTCTGAGAATTCTCAGAGGACCTTGACTTCCTGGGGAAATTCCAAGTCTCCGGAGCACATCTAGAATATGGTGTGGGAAAGTCAGATTTATTTCATCAGCCTGCTGCATTGCATGATGATTAATTAGTGAAAAGATCGTGAATTCTCCATGGCCTTATCCACTCTGAGCATAAGCTCCTCAAGGTTTCCTGCCAACATTCCCAGTTAAAGTTGTGTACTCACTCTACTTGTTTAAAATGTTGACATTATTTATTAATTCATAGACTTCTTTCATATTTGCTCAGCTGTGTGTACTCTGTTCAACTTGTCTGTATCAGTGTTCTGGGTCATTATCATAGATTTCCAAGTTGCAGAAAACCTGTTTGCTCTGCATTACAACACAGACTAGGACGTAGAGGTAGATAATAAGTGCCTTTTTATGCAGATGACACTGATGTGACCTTATTCCATTGAAATGAATCAAGCAACCAGCAAACATTGAGAACCATCTGAAGTGGTGAGGACATAAATCCAGCTTGCTCTTCGCTTGAGGATGGTGAGACAACTCCAGAGTCTCTTCCTGAGATTGGAGTGATTGTCACTAACTCTAGTTGGGTGTCGGGTATAGCCTATTCCATGCTATTCTTAGGGATCTGTTTGACTGGCAATGTGCGCAGGCTGCCAGCACTTGTGTCAACATATCTACCAGGGCAGGATTAGGGAGAGGCCAGGAGCAGGATATTTTCCCCTCAGGGCTTGGAGAAGAATGTACTTTTTTTGATATAGATGAGGTGAATTAAAGTCATTATTTTTGTGTTTCTTTTTCCTGGATAAATCAAAATGTAAATCCTTATACCATATCATGAGATAGAACTTGGCATCTCCTCATATGTATTCTGAGCTGAATGAATAAATGGACAATGCTTTATACCTCATTGTATCACCTGTAATTCCAGAATTGTGTATGGCAGGTACATAATTTGTAATCAAAATAAATAAACTTTGAATGTTCATGTCATTGTCTATGATTATAATTAAATGTGATTAAGGTCAGAGTATAGATCCCAGATTGTGGAACAGTGTATTCGATATACCTAAGCTTTGAAGCTGATAGAATGAATGGGATGGTGTGGGTGTGTGTGTGTGTACGTGTGTGTGTGTGTGTGTGTGTGCATGTTCAGGATATATTTACCAAGTTTCATCTTAAAGTGACATTTACTTTGGAAGTGTGTATTTTTTCTGAGCAGACTCATACCAGATAAAGGAAAAGCCAGAATACCTTTATACTCTGAATGAATGGACAGATATCTTTTGGTTCAATTTTTTCATAGATTTGTTAACTACCAGTACTGGAGAGACACTGGATTAAAACTAAATTTCACTATGAACTTGATTAAGTAAATCTTGTAAAGTGGAGATAAACAGCTTGGAGCTCCCATGAAATTCAGAATACTTAAATTCTGAGTAGATGGCAATGTATTTAATTAATGAAGGTTGAATTAGGAACATTATATTAATAGGATAATACTTCCTTTCTTCTTTCATTCATTCAACAAATATTTTTTGGGCACTGCCAATGCCCTCCAGCCAGAGACTGCCAGGAACACCCCTGTAGTGAACACATTAGGTTTAGTACTTACTGCAAGGGGAAGAACACACACAATGGGGTGTCTCAGTAAGGGGGTTTTAGAAACAACCTGTTGTAGGATTTGGGCTTTGGTTGGGTGATTTGTGGGACAATCCATGTTTGCTCTAGATTGGATTCTGTTAGAAGTCCTCCTGATTTCTATGACTTTGGAGAAATCAATCAATAGTTCTTATTTTAAGGGAGAGGAGACTAGAACAAGGGCAAAGCTGTCATTGGTGGAGAAGTACCAGTTACTCATTTTGGCCGAGAGAGGAAGCGTTTGGTATTTTGTGGGTGGCACAGAGAACTTGTTTTTTTCTGTGCTTAGATAAAATTATGACAAGGCCTTGCTTTTTCTCATTTTATCTTGGTCTCAGAGTCCCCTGTCTGTGGTTGGTATTCTGTGAGATTGTTTATGTCCAATAGGAGAATAACACGGCCTAGTTGTGAGAGCCAGGCCGGCTTCTCAGTGTCAGGCACTGCTCTTTGTTTTGCTTTCTCGGCACCTACTGTGAGGCACACCCAGTTCTTGATGCTGGGGATTCAGCAATCAATAAAACAGACGAAAATCATAGCGTTTACATTCTAGCCAAGGGGAGAAAGAGAATAAAATAAATAAGTAAATTATAATACATTAGAAAGTGGTAAGTGCTACAGAGAAAAAATGTAAAGCAAGGAAAGGGAATAAGGATACTGAGAGGGAGAGAGGGGACCATTTAAATTTAAAGTAGGGGGTCAGGGAAGGCTTCCCTGTAAAGCTC